TCCAATTGAGAAGTCCTGTTAATAAAGAAAAAAGGCTGTTCTAAAAGACAGCATGGGTTAAAACAAGTCATGGCAGCTGAACAACAGCTCGAGATCAAGCTCATCCCCTCCACATAGGAGCACCAGGTGGCTGCAGGACTCTCACACAATGGAGCACTTCACAGTGGGGGGTAAGATTCAATGTACAGAGATTGTCATCACCAAAAGGTAAACAACTGTGCAGAGGTCATACCTCCAAGGGTAATACATGACAAAGCTGAGATATTTTTTGATGTACAGATCCAGACTGATAAGTAGGAGATGGTTAACCAAGATATAGTTGACTAACCGTAGAGGAAGGAAGCAGAAATAGAGGCAGGAACACCAAAGTGGTACAATGTCAAGAAAAAGGGAACGCAACAAATTTGTAAATCATCCAAAACTACAGGAGAAAGTTTAAAAGATGCAGGAATTGGAAGCAGCAGAGGTAGTAATGGTGATCAGGACACTTTGGACCACAAACCCCAAACTGAGAGAGTAGCTCCAGCTGATTCTAGGAACAATAGGTTCTGCCAAGATTAGAGCAACACTAGGAACAGCGGAGATATGCACACAACCCTGAAGCTCCAAGACATGAGATTGAAAGAGAGGGACACTAGAAGGCCAGAAGTTGGACAAGCATAACGTTTTTATCCTGTATGCATATTTGAGACATCCATCCATCCATTATGGTTACCGCTTATTCCCTAATGGGAACTTTTCATTTCAGTATCTACATGTAGACTAGATGTGTCAATAATATATGTAAGTCCTCATATCCCTTAACATTAAAAAGTACATAAATAAATAGATAAAAAAGATGACTGCGATGGACTGGCGGACTGTCCAGGGTGTACCCCGCCTCTCGCCCATTGACCATTGGGATAGGTTCCAGTTCTCCCCACGACCCCATTAGGGAATAAGCGGTAATGATAATGGATGGATGGATGGATAAAAAAGATTCATATATGTGTGTGCGTGTGTATGAATGTGTTTGAGTCTATGCTGTCATTTTTAAATGCTGTACATGGAAAAGATCTAAAAAGTTGAACATAAAGCGTAAAATCTATGAGGTCAGGAAATGCACTTTGTTTGTACATTCTGAGAGAACCAATCAAATGAATGTGATGCTTTACATAACCACACCTCCCTTTGTTTCTTAAGAAGTTGATCTTCCAATGAAGACATTGACAAGATGATTCTGTTATGGGTCACACTGCTTCTTCTTCATCGAGTATGTAAGTGCATTTTCACACATTTGTGTTTTCCTTTTAAATTCAGTTTATATTTACTGTCTTTCATAGTTTAACTTCTGTCTCTTTCTGCAGATTCACTGATTCCAGCAGTCACAGTTGAACTTGGAGAACCTGTGACTTTGACATGTAGCGTTGATTATAAAAATCAGGATGTAATACTTCAGTGGTTGAAGCAGAGTGCAGGGGACACTCTGAAATCAATTGTGACCCTATGGAAAACGTATAAAACTTCATATGGACCTGGGTTTTCTTCTTTAAAAGTGAAGGCA